ACCTTAAGTCCGGCTTGTATTATCGCGGGACCTTAATCTAATCATATTCTGAGTCAATAGATAAAATCGCACGTTTCTTACAAGTAAACGGTGGTCTTGAATAGTAGAATTTCATATCGATATTCGATTTTCTCATTTGATGATACACCGCTTCTTTGCGATCGCGCTTTACAGGCGCCGACGGAAAGGAAAAAGAAACGAGCGCGAACTCGTGATTTCGGTGCTCCCATTACGATAAATTGCGAACGGTTGCTCATGCGAAAGAGACCTACGTCGATCGATTGCAGAAACAATGCTTCGTCCGCGATAATCTTATTCCTGCACGATTTTCCCCCGCGATAGACGACGCGTGGAAAATTGTGACACGAGTGTCAGCCGTAAAATTTACATCTGGATATTACCATATTATTTAACAAGTTTTTATTTGTCCCATGAGATCTGCGTACGAGATATCCAGTCCGGGAGCTTTACGAGAGAATCTCGTATTATATGAGGATTGAGTTTAATATTTGACAGTTTCATCGGGCGAACAATAATCTCGCGCGATTATTTATCTTCGGACGGAGATGGGAATTAAATCGATTCGTTAAATTACTGAGGGGCCCGCTCTCTCGGGGATTCCACCGAGCATGGATGAATATTTAAACGGAGAAAAGGCAGCCGACATTAAGGACTTTCTTATTGAAGAGTTCACGATAGAAAATAGCTTATTACTTTCAATGCACTCGGGCTTTTCGATAAGCTTCATTATTTCGATACTCTTACGATACTCAGAAAATATTTTATCATTAGAATTATCATTAGAATTATAAAGGTAACTTCTGACAAATACATCGACAATGTAGGATGATGTAGGACAAGTGAATTTTGCACACCATTTGTCAAAATTTGCTCTTATTACTAAAATTTTAGTGGTGTATTTTTAGTTAATCAGAAGTTGACCGAGTTAATTTTTTTTAAACGAAATTACCTGTTAGTACCATTGAAACATATATATAGTCATTATAAATGAGCTTCTCACAAGGCAAACTTTGGAAAAAATATAAATATCAAAACGATATTAATTTGAAATAAACATTAGCGTAATAATTTTAGTAATATAAATAATGATTGGAAAGTTGCTATAAATAATCACAATAATATAATTCATGATATTTTTATTAAGGAAAAATTATTGATTTCTTTCTCTTCTTTGTATTATGAAAAGAAAAATTTATAATTCAGAAATCAAAAAAGAGAATGCTAGACTACTCTATGTATGCTAGTAATAATTTTTAACGATTTATTAATACTCAATCAATCTTTCTTGCTGTTTACATTCTTTTTCAGAAAAATATGTATTTATATTTCAATGTCTCTCATCTTTGGCTTCTGTAAGCAAAAAGAATAAAATTTTAAAAGTTGAATTATACGAGCCAATCCTATACAAATCCATCCATAAAATAAAAGAAATTGTAGCCCGCGATGTCTCTTAAACAAAACATAATTTATGGATATTCAATATCTTCGATATCGATGACCTGTTCTTGTGTTTTAACTTTCTTCAGAAAGGTATTTTCGAAAGGTATCCGTCTCCTTGAAGCAAGTTCGAGAAATCGCCGAGATTCTTTTTCCAGTTTTGCGAACTGTCCTCGACTTTGAAATTCGAAGAGATTATAGCGAGAAAAGGGATATCAAATATCTCGAGTCTTTCCCTGCTTTTTGCCCTCGCGAAATGAGATTGCAGTTTCGTAATCGCGAAGTTTATTATCACCGACTTGCATTACGCACACATTAAGACTGTCTTTATACATTGAAAATTGTTTAAGCTTCTCGCACCGGAGAAGTCATTTTTATAGTCTCTCTGAGAGAAAACAACATAGTTCTGGCAACTATATGACAGTTATGAAATTTAAGTACTTGCAATTAGTTTTTCAAAGTAACAAGTACGAAAGTAGTATTGAATAAGATAAAAATATAGTCATCGTAACAATATATGTGAGTTATTAATTGATAGTGAAATAGCGACTCAATTTTAATCACATAGTTAGTATAGGCTTCATACAAATAGAATTTGACATATTTTTCCAGCTTAGACAAATATTTTTAAGGTAAACATAATGCAATAGTATCATTGAGATAAGTTTAAAAAATACTGACAGCAACTGTATACAATACATTAGTTTACTTAATGATTTATTAGAAATCATTAATATTACTATATATTCTTGGTTTATATAAAGTCGTTGATTGTTCTTATTACAACTTTATCATACATAATTGAGGCGCTATTTGTGTACACATTTCTAGTTGCTGGTACGACTTTTTTTTCTCCGAGTATAGAATATCCTGTGGATTTACATGAATCGTGATACAATGAAGACAATTTGTTCGAACGAGACAGATAAATTTACATACGTTAATCTAACGAGAGAAAACAAAGTCGAATCACGTCTAACAACGTAACAAACACCACGTGTATTTTTATCGCGCCATTCCTCCGATCGCACTCAAATCGCCAACGGCCTACTTAGAACCCACCCAGCCGGGCAATTTATTTTCATTTCTCCTAACGATTCTCAACCCCCGCGTCTCACTTTCAACATGGACGACGAATAATTCGAGACCCCCTCCGAGAATGCCGCGATTCACTCGGCACGATCGATCACGTTAACTTTACGGCTCCAAGGAATCTTGTAACGCGATTACGAGCGAGCTGGAAAACGCGGCTATAATGGCTTCCGCCGTCTCGAACAACGTCATGAGACGTCATGGTCGGCATCGATTCCGAAGCAAAAGGTCCGTGAGCACCGTGAGTCTCTACCCGTCAAGATTTTTGATTTGAACGAACGTAGGCAGCTGTCGCAGCGCGCTCGAAAACGCTCCTCCACGTCCTTTCACGTCTGTCACATACCGCGGCATATGTTTCGCGTAAAGTTTGAAAAAAAGCACGATGTTAAACTTTTTAATAAATATTTCATCGAGTTTTGTTTTAGCAACTTTGCACTCTGCTCCGCATATAAAGTTTCATGACCTAAAAATTAGAATTATGTAATACATTATACATTATGTCTAGAAGCTCGTGAGACCAACAGAATTATGCATTAGACATTATGTCGGGATACCTATAAAAATGATGTGTAATTTTTTTTATTAATTTATGACATATGTTATAATTTCACAATTGTTTTTCTTTTCTACAATCTAAAACACGTTGCAATTGTAGTATCCATGTCACAGTCAAAATTAAATAACGTGTTAAATTTGAATGTATTTTTTATCAATAAGATTGAAAATAAGCATTTAACTGAAATGAAAGAATGTTATTTTAATTTCATTTAACTATAGAAGGATGTTATCTTAACTTAATTATAATTTGAAGGTAAATCGTCGAGATATTCGAGACAAAAAGTCTGAAATTATGAAAGAAAGTGCTATCTAAGCAAAGTATCCAAGTTAAGAAAAACATAGCATATACTTTCTTTTAATGTGTGTTTTTTCCTCTCTTCTTCGATCTCGTTTCTTTCTTTATTTTTTTTTATTATACGGTTTTGCCGCAATTGCGGTACAATAGCTCGTAATACGTAAATTTCCACGGATGTGTACGCACCGCTGCATGATTAAGAGAGAGAGAGAGAGAGAGAGAGAGAGAGAGAGAGAGAGAGAGAGACG